AAATTTCGCGCGCTCAGGAACGGCGAAATGACAAGTGATATAAGTGCTCCTATGAATATCGTTCTTTTTATATCACTTGTCATTTCGCCGTTCCTGAGCGCGCGAAATTTCAGCCCTATCATTTGTGGAAAATAATCGCTTCTAATTTAAAAACTATTATAGCCTCGACACTTTTGTATTAGGATTTTCGTCTGGAAATGTTCTAAGGAATCTGTCATTAAGAGGACCTCCGGTGGTTTTAGGACACCCTGTATATCGATATGCACAATAAAACGTTAAGTCAAACGCAACGTAGAACAAAATCTAATCTATAAATAATTTGTTTTATTAAAAAAACAGGTATTTCTCTTAATTTTTAAATCTCTCGCATTAATAATACAAGTGACTCCTAAAAAGAAGAGAAATTTCTTACCTTGAACTTTCGCAGTGGACCATTGGAGGCTGTTGATCTCGCCAATGTCCCAGTCCCTAAGGACACAAAAAGTTGGTGTATTTTATTGTCAATTATATATTTGTTATTCCATAAAGTATCTTTTCAATTTGTCTTACATCTACGTATCAATGTGCCAAATGAAACGTTAAATCAGACGCAACGTAGAAGAAAATTTAGTTTAAATAATTTGTTATATTTTTAAGAGACGGCCGTATTTCTCTTCATTTTCAAATCGCATTAATAATGCGGTACCTCCTAAGAAGAACAATTTCTTACCTTGAACTTTTGCAGTGGACTATTACGAAGGCTGTTGATCTCGTCAATGTCCCAGCCCTAAGGACACACAAACATTTCTACGTTTTTATCAAAGCGTTTTACAACGTAGCCTCCCATACGGCACAAAACTTGTACAGTGCAGCTACGTTGCAGCAATAGGCCTGTTCTTTATTACCGCACTACTCAACTAGTGCAATAAGTTGAAATGAAACAAATAGATTGCCTCTCATTCCAACTCATTGCACCAGCGTGCACTAGTTCAGGAGTACAGCAATAAAGAGCAGACCCAATGTTGCAATATTGTAGCAATGCTACTACAATGCAATTGCAAGTTTTGTGCTGTACGAGCTAATAGAAATTTTAATCCTGCAAGAATATAAAGGAAACGTATATTTGATTATCAATATCACAGTATCGTTTCAATTTATGTCATATCTACATATCGATAAAGTTAAACGTAAAATTTCTTCTTGCCTCAACTCCCCGTGAACCATTGCGGAGGCTACTGAGCCTACGTCCCACCTCAAAGGACCTCTAAAGTCGACCGAAGTTGACGATTACGTACAAAGTTACGGGTCTAACAAGTACGGGACGGCACGTAATGTATAACGTAACGATCGCAGAGAGGCTCGCGCGACGGTCCGTACGGGTAATTTCCGCGGGGTCGGAGTCCGCACTCACCGAAACCGAGCAGCAATTCGGCGGCGTCGGGCAGCGTCCGTTTCGGGCGGCGACGCGGTGCCGAATCGCGAAGACGCGCGGCAACCGATACGTTCCTGGCCGAAATTCGCACGCTTTTCACCGACGGCAGCCACGATTAATCCGCGAAACGACCAACTCGCCGCGAACCGCGGCGTCCGTGTCTGCCCTCGCCGTAACCGACCGGCAGTTCGAAACGGCGGCGTCGGACAGCGTCCGTTTCGGGCGGCGAAACAGCGCCGATCGCGAAGACGCGCGGCAATCGACACGCTCCCGGCCTAAATTCGCACTCGTCGCACGCTTTTCACCGACGGCAGTCACGATTAAACCGCGAAACGACCAACTCGCCGCGAACCGCGGCGTCAGAGTCTGCCCTACGCCGTAATCGACCGGCAGTTCGAAACGGCGGCGTCGGACAGCGTCCGTTTCGGGCGGCGAACCAGCGCCGATCGCGAAGACGCGCGGCAACCGACACGCTCCCGGCCGAAATTCGCACTCGTTGGACGCTTTTCATCGACGGCAGTCACGATTAAACCGCGAAACGACCAACTCGCCGCGAACCGCGGCGTCCGAGTCTGCCCTCGCCGTAACCGACCGGCAGTTCGAAACGGCGGCGTCGGACAGCGTCCGTTTCGGGCGGCGAAGCGGCGCCGATCGCGAAGACGCGCGGCAAACGATACATTCCGGCGATCGCCCGTCACCTCGAGCGACACTCCCGACCGAAATTCCCACGCGTTACGCACTTTCGACCGACGAAATCCACGATTAATCCGCGGAACGATCAACTCTCACCGTGAACCGACGACCGAGTGTCATGGCGGCCGGGCGCGCATGCGCGCCCTCGATTACATTTCGCTAGCGGACAACTCGAAAGACGAGGAATGCAAATTCGCGACGGGAATGCAACACGTCTTACGCGCTTTTCGGCGAGCCGCGACGATTGCTCGGTACTTTCGAGGATTCGCGTGGGATTTCGCGTGTAAAAGACGCGAAAACGGCGAATTGAGTTGCGGTTTGAAACTTCAAGTGGCGCGTAAACCGCTGCGTCGTAACGCAAGCGCGACTGCTCTGGTCAAAAGAATAGTGCAACACTACGTACATCATCATAACGTTTATATATTTTTTAATTATTTTTGTGAAAAAAGCGTCGTAGTTATCTACATTTTTATATTTATATTGTCTTATAAATTTACAATATCACTCATTTGACTTTTTCCTTTTGGTTGTATAACTTCTCTCTCTCGCTGCGAATTTATTTAAATTATATGTATAAATTTATATTAAATCGCGAAAGATACAACTGGACGGAAAGTCAGTAGTAATAAATAGGAAAACAATCTTTGCTTTACGTCTTGATATAACACTATTCATTTTCTGGATTAACCTCAAGGTAATTTTAAATTTCAAATTTTCAAGCCGAATAATTGAGAGTTTAATGGTTTCATGGTCTCCGCTTAAAGTTAAAACGGGTGTATCGATGAAAACCTTTATTACAAATGACAAAATATAATACAATTTTGTTTGTATTTCATTGGTACAATTATTTTTACTTAATTATTCTTACCTAAATTAAAAAGTATTTAAGATTTTAGTACCATTAACGCTTCTGTGTATTTTAAACCTTCCAACATATAAGCTAAATTTTCCACTGATGCATCTTCATCTTCTTCCGCCCATATCTCGAGCATAGTCTTGCATTGTTCATACGGCGTCGCTTTACTTTGGAAAAAAGCAATCTAAAACGCATAACGTATATTTAAGTCCCATAATTGCGAATAGTATTAATGTTATAACAAGAAAGGCTTGATAATTTATACCTCATCATTTGTGTAACCAAATTTCGTCGCTAATTTCTTCCAATCGTTTTTCAGACTCTCCGATAATTTCGCCACCATTTCCGAGGTGACTTTATTTAACTTTCTTGCTTTCACATCAGAGCTTTCGGCCTCAACCTGCTCGCTTTCCTGCTTCAAGACGTCTTCGTTGAATTCTTGATCGGTACATTCCGACGGCGGCGTTTCCTCGGTGTCCAATTTTGCATCAGACTGTGTCTGCTGCGAGACATTGTAAACAAATTAAGAAATGTACCAAGATTAAGCATATTCACAGAAAGACAATGAACATTAGATACTCACTGGACGGTCTTTGGCAATTTTCTTAATCATTGTCTCAAGGTACTCTGGCAATTTATTTATAGGATAATTGCCATGAACAAAGAAATGCGGGCTTCGTCTCGCTAATAGTCTTAATGCTCTCCAACCAAAGTTACCATCGTTCACCTTTCTGCAAATACAAAATCACTGCATTATTATTAATAATTACAACGAAGGATGACGCGCATCTTTATGCGACAGCAGTCAATTTATACAGTCGACAGATTCCAGATTCAACCCTAATACTAACTGTAAGTCGTCCGTTTCGCTTCGGTTTATAACAAGTTGACTGGAGAGTTGAAAGTTATGAATACGGAGGAATACGAGATTAATTTCAATCCGTTTCGGAAACAATAGACAGATACATTAATGACGAGAAATATGCCAGAAGTAATAGCGCTTACTTGTACTTGTCATCTACCAACGCACTAGGGTCCAATTCCAATATAGCGTCTTCGAAGTACGTTTCTAAGGATGGAAGGAAATCTCTATCCTTAGATTTGCATGCCTCGAGATTGTTTGGACATAGATTCCACAGTTTGGAGAGTTCTGGGCTATATCAAAGAACAATGTACATTTAAACATCGGATCTCGTACGCGAATGTTAATTTGCTCCTTCATTCTCAAAGGCTACCTACTTTCCCATGTGATATTTTCCAACCGCCTGCGCATCTCTAATCGCATCACCGATACGCCGCCTCGGTCTCCTCAGCTTTCGTGGCTCATCGTCAGCGGCGTCCGACGTCGGTCGTTTAAACGGTGGACAACCCTCATTCTTCCACGCATTCCAGTGCTCCTCGCGCTTCAAAATGTTCTTCACGGTCTCAGCAAACGTGGGACCGTCGGGCGGTGTTTCGGCCAGTAGAGTATAAACCTGCTCGGTAGTGGCCTTTACCCATTCCACTTGGTCCGGCTTGAGTTCGTGTGTCTCACTTAAAAGTAACAAACGTCATAGTGATTCGACAACGTACGCATCACGAGACATTTAATTTAAGGGAAGCAGACCTTGTCTCATAGCCACTGGCAAGGAAGCTTTGAAAAACAAACATTTTTATAACTATTCACAAGCACTTCGCTAATTGCCGAATAATTTGTCAATTGGAGGGTATGAGGCTTGTGAATTCACTAGAAAATATTCATGTATCGTACTGCATCGATATAGAGAATACTTACGCCTTGAATTTTACAGTGCTATTCAGATACTGGAAAAGAATGAGAAATTGCAGCAATACGTATCGTCTGAAATTGGAATCTGACAGCTGTAACTCCAACAACTTCTGATTTGTCAAATATTTGGCAAAATAGTGCGTCTCCTTATGGGGGCCTTCCGTAGAAGTATCCATCTTGATACATGTCGAAGGGTAACTACGTTGCTCCTCCAATTTAAAAGAAGCAAACGCTGACAGCACATTAGATGCATGCTACAAAAAAATACATATATATATATATATATATTCTTTAATGAGTCTGTAAAATAAATTTGTGTTACCGTTCAAAGGAACTCGAGACTCACAGTTGAAAAGACCTTCCAGTGCATTTTATTGTAGCACTGATTCGGATTTCTGAAGAAGTCTTGCAGAGCCCAGAACTTTCTATACAAATTGTAATCAATGGGTATCTTGCTCTCCGACTTGTCGTCTTCCTTGGTGATCTGCTCCAAGTTGTCCTCCTCCAAACCGAACTCCGTGTGATTCTCCAGATTGAACTCGCTGACGATATTCAAGCCGGACCTCTCGGAGAAGGGGAAGAACTTTGCGAGGAACAACAGAATCCTACCACAGAATACCGTTTGCTGCGAACGAGACAACCTCCTCAGCAGGTCGTTGCACATTCTCAACAAGTTATTCTTGCAGGCCGTGAAGAAGAGATCTTCCTTCCACACGGTAACGTTGTTTTCCACGAAGGTGAACAGCTGCTCGCACCTGTCCAGTGTCATCGAGTCGAAGATGTCGCCCAACAACATCACCGGCATACTCGCCGTCGCGAGGTCCTTCCTGCACAGCTCTATGCAGAACGTGATGTACGACTCGAGGGAGCGCACGTTACCCGAGGAGTTTTCCGTCAGCACGACCAGCAGGGTGTCTCGGAGCGCCTGGTCGATCGCCGGCTTCCTGTCGCCATCATTCGCACAACGTTCGACGCACTTCTTTTGAAACAACGAAACGTCCGACAGCTTGAAATGCTGCTGCAGGTAATCCTGAAGGAGGAAACGAGACGTAAATGCAGTTTCTCAAGCGAGAATTCGCGAGCGAACAGTTAATTATTTATTCGCTCGTTCATTCCAAACGTTATACTCACGCTGTAGTCTTTTCTCAGCACTTCAAACACCGCCATGATTTTTCACAGCTGCGTTATCTCAGCCTCTATTATTTTAGTTTCTTAAAAATTACGTCCGGCTATCCGGAATTTTAACATTTGCGTTTGTTTTCAAGAGAATGCTTCTCTGTTTGGTTATGTGACTGCAACTGCCCCCGAAGCCCCCGAAACACGACGCGCGGAGCGCTTTCAACCAGAAACTAGAAAGAAGATCGAGAGCGGGTTACCGCTGGCTCTAGGAAGATATTCTAGGGACTCTAGCTCTAGTGAGTTCTAAACTTGTGCTGATTCGCAGTAGAGA